ATAACTCAAATTATTATCAAGACTTATCACAAACTTAAACAACCATGTGACACGTCAAGTGATTATATACGCATGATCAAAACTATCTTATACCCTCCTTATATCTTTTAACTAAAATCGTGAGTTATAATATCAAATAGGGCTCCGTTTGTGTGACTAGCTACCCCAAGTCACCAATTATGAGATATGACCTGGCTAAAAATTACAAGAGTCACTCTCGGATCACGGTTTTTCCTACTCTCAAATCTCTGGAATGTCATATACCCTAAGCTAACCTGCTTAATAAATTGATAGAGATAGCTAAGTTCTAGTCTATTGACAAACTATGAGATAAAGTTATACCCTTGTGCATCGAAAGGCAGCAGGAATATTATATGAATTTTAACTACTTATCTCCCTAAGCAAACTTCTACCAACTGATCATGCTATGTAGGAGGCTTACTCATTTTACAATTTCATTATTCAACAATAACACATTAGGCTCATGATAATATGCTACTCAAGTGAGCATTAATCTCATTTTCACATTTACTACATATATCCACTACTTTCAATCTCAACACAATTATCTTTGTCTCGTTACACTTGATCACAATTCAAATTTATCATACCAATCATCAACTACTCATTCCAATACCACATTATAATTTGAAATTCATTTCAAATTCACTTTCACATATTTAGTTCAAATAAAAGCAAATATACTATCTCATGTTTCATGGCATGTGTATACATTAACAAATCACAATTGTACATGTAACTAAACGCACTTCATGTCACAATACAATTAATAAACAACTGTCAAACATAGGGTTTTTTTAATTACCTTATCAAAGGTTTACACCTCCTCAATAATTAACTTCCAAGCTTGCTTCACAAGCCAAATGTGATGCTTGGATGATTAATCTATAATTAATCAAGTCTAACCTCAATTAACACTGCTACAAGTGCACTTTTAACCCTCATTTTTCATATTTAAAATACCCAATACCCATATTTCTTACATTCAGGTCTATTCATTGGATTTATTAACTTTCTTTAGCTCCTAATAACTTAATTAAACTATTATATTGTTATTTATGGCTTCCTAACCAACTATATCTGCCATAATAAATGGCATTTTTGGCCATCAATGAACCTATAACTACCAAAATGCATAAACTCATTAAGCCTAAGTCTAAATACCTCAAACAACTTTTATTAACTCAAATTGGGTCAATGGATTCAGACCCATAACCTATATGAATCGAAAATCATCTCTCATTATCAAACCTTAATTCAAATCTTTGAGAAAATGGAAGAGCAAGAGAGGAAAGGGTTTAGGAATCTTAGGTGATTTGGAGCTTCAAACTCTCTCAAATTCATCCCAAAGTCGTGCTCTAATATAGCCCTCTTTGTTTCTCTCCCAATCCCTCTTCTTTTCCTCTGTTTTTCATATCATGATCGTGATTAAATTTTTTAAAAAAATGAGCCATGTGTTGCGGCGCATGGTATAAAAAGGTTCTCCTGTCCTTTTATCATCTTGCACTATGGCAAACATGCTACACGCTATGGCATATGACACAGACAATCCTTCACATTTTTTTCTTTTTTCTGATGCTCAAGTGGCCCAACTTTACTTCAAACTCATAATTTCACATGAGATGAGACGGAGGAAAGGCCTTGGAAATAATAATTCACAGTTCAGTATTGTACATAATATATATTAATTATTAATTATTAATATCAATATTACTGTGTGAAATAATAATAATGCATTGGAAAGTCAACTTTTCATGAGGTTTCAACTTTCAATGCTCAAGAAAGCGGAAGAAGCGGGACGGGGAGGCTAGTGTTGATCAATAATTGAGTCATTTTTCTATTTTTGGTTCAGATGTTATCGGTAGATAGTCTCGAAGAGTTGGTATTAATAACAAATTAACAATAACCAAATCTGGATTTGTTGCCGAAAGTCCACCCTTGAAAATGGGAGGCTCCATTATAGAGTTTTTTTATTCGGTCATAACTATATAATAAAAGACCAGTCCACAACTTTGGAACATAAAAATAATTATTGAACCCTTTTAAAGCCATGACCAAAAATAAATTAACCTATCATAAAAAAAAAAAGCTATTAGTATATTGTTTATTATCAAAGGGTTAGCTGTGAGAGCTCATTCATCCAACATTACCATATGTTGTTGGGATCCCTATTCCTTGGATGTGACTCAGATGCGACTTATGTGTTACATCATAACTTAAAAAATAGTATTACTTGTGTACGTATTTTAATGATATCTTTTTTTGCCAGACATTTTAATGATATCATAATAAGTTTTTCAACTTGATTAAGTATTTGCTTTGATATAATTATTTACAAATTATGTTGGGAAGGGATTTCACACATATATGAATGGAAGGGGAATCAATGTTATTGAAAACGAGGATTAAAACATATGGAAGAACTATGAGAAGGGGCTGGCTTTCCCTCCACTGTAGTATATATAAAACACTGTAAATTCGGACCATTAAGTTATCTTTAATGATTTAGATTGGATTATTTTAAAAAATTCAAATTAAGTTGTATTGTTAAAATTTGATTTAAACAGTTTAAATTTATAATAAAGGTAAATGAGTATTAAGTTCATGTGAAGGGTTCTCTTACTTCACGTGTCCTTGTCATAGACCATTGATTGGAATCTCTATAATAAATTAAGTAATCAATTAATCTAATTATTAATTAATTTATAATAAGACATGGTGTTGTGTCATAATGCAGCATCATGTGTTTCTACCGATAATTCCTAATATAAATGTATCAACTTGACCCAAAACTATGTGCTGATTTGCCTGTTTTTCTATTTTTCGCCCCAGCTCAAATTTTTTTCCCGGATTTTATTTCATTGTACGTGTCGTTTGGGTTTGGCCTAAAAGCGTTCCTAAATTTTCCATGCTAATTTATTTTATTATTTGATTGGTAGATTAATTATTCAGTTGAACCCGACCAATGTGCTCCTTTAATCGAATCAAAACGCTAACAGATTTGTGTGTTTTTTTTTTTATTCATACCAATTTGTTTACCTTTACTTGATGAGTCCCCATGGATAAGTAATAAGAAATTCGCAGTTAGATAGGGTTTCCTGTATCATTTATGGCATGTTCAATAAAAATGTGATATTTTGATAGTATTAAATATAAATTAATTTTAATATTAACGATAGTATTGAAAAAAAAGTAAGAAATTAAATATATATTTTGTTATAAAAATAAACTGAATTAAAATAATATCACATAAAATTTTATTTAGATGACTTAAGATATTTTAATTAAATATACTACAAATGATGTGGTGTACCTAATATATTTAAAAATTTTACAGTAGGATAAATTCTCATACAGATATGATACACAATGTCATTTATGGTCTATCCAATAAAAACATGCTATGTTAGCTGATTGTAAATATACATTTATTTCGTCATTAATGACGATTAAGAGATAAAAGACAAGAGAGGGAATTTGAAAATGAATTCATTAAAAATAATGATAGATAAGATTTTAGTTGACTCAATTGATGCTAACATGGCACATTTATATTGGACAAACTATGGATAACATGGTGCATAAAGTTCATGTGAGGATTTCATAAGCTCATTCCTTATTAAGAGAGTCAACTAGAATGGATTATATATCTCCTCCCGCCCTTATCATAAGTTACACCCAATCACTCTTTAGAATAAAAAAATAATTAAGTCATTAATTTTATCTTAAAATAAAATAATTTCATAACTTTACTTTCATCTAAGGGGATAGAAAATATCGCATTAAATTTCACTTCTCTTAATAGAAAACTACAACAAGAGCAATAATGAAAAAGAAAGATCATTAACAACTCATCAAATGATTTATAAATAGAATCAATATTTTTTTAAAACAGTGAATTATAAAAAAGACATGAGGGTTACTTTTATTTTTTAAAAGACTATAATATTTTTGCCATATTATTCAATTGCATTGATATGCTCATTAAAAATATCTTTCAGTAATAAGTTGAGAGAGTAATTTACATTTGATATAAATCCGATGATATGAATATGATAATTTTGTACTCTATCTCATGATATGGATATGAGAAATTTTCACTCCCTTCACTAGGATTTTTTTGTTGAGTAATTTGATGTTTCATAGGAGTATATTTTGTAAAAAAATAATTATTCATTGATATTTTTATTTTAAAATTACTTCTTATCATTTAACTCTTTAAAATGTTTTTTACTTTTTATTAAATGAAGGTTATATTTTTTTAAAAAATTAAAATTTTATATTTTTAGAAAAGTAGAGTATCTTATAAAATTCTGTAATCTGTAATGAAAGTCAAAGTGAAAAAGGAAAGAAATTTATAATTAAAAAAAAGGAAAAATTTTTATTGGACAAGGAAAAAAAAAAAAAGCAGGAGGAGGAGGAGGAGGAGGAAGACCACTTTTTATTGGCAACACCAAAACTCTTCATTGGCTTTGGCAGATACGTGCGGGCAGGGCCGAAAGGCAAGAATAAACTAACTGCCAACGACTATTCTGAACAAAGGAATCTTTGAATTCGGAAGCATATTCGAATCTCGACGTCGAGGATTAGTCACACACACACAGATAATAGTCTCAGTCTACGGCAATTTACACTGATTTGCCTCTGCGAGGGACCCATCCAAATAAAGAGAATAGTTTTTAAAAACAGTTTTCTGTTCTTCAAAATAAAAAAATAAAAAAATTTATTTAATAATATATTTTAAAAATATTTTAAAAAATAAAAAAATAAAATATTAACCTAAAAATAAAAAATAAAAATAATTTTTAAATATTCTATAATTATTATTTTAAAGAATAAGATAAAATAAAAAATAAATTTTTTTATTTTTAAAATATATTTTATAAAAATAAAATATTAATTTTTAAAATAATAAAATAAAAATAATTTCAATCACTTAAAATTTCTATGGACTGTTCTCATGTTCCTCTGTTCTTTATAATGCAACCGCTGCACCACTCTAGATCCCACATCTCTTCTCTCTCTCTCTCTCTCTCTTCCTTCCTCGTATCTTGCTAATTCATATTTAGGTACTTTATTGGAATCCAGTGACTATTGATTCAATTATGGTTCAGCCTAGAGCAAAAAACTCGTGTGCTTTTTTTCTATTTTTTCGTGTGGGGTTTTAGTGTAGTTAGCAACACTATTCTTATGCATTTATCTTGTCTAACCCATAAATCCTCGATGTTTACGGTTCCATTATTAACGGGGTGTCATAAGAATTAGCCGCCTTTCTAGCGATTCACTCATGATTTTAGGTTAAATTTTAATTTTTGTTCGGGGGTTTTGGATGATCGCAGGTGGGGTACTAAGAGTGAGCCATGGCAAATCGGAGCTTGGAAAAGATGGCATCCATTGATGCCCAGCTCCGGCAACTGGTTCCTGCTAAAGTGAGCGAGGACGACAAACTGATTGAGTACGATGCTCTTCTTCTGGATCGGTTTCTTGATATTCTTCAGGACTTACATGGAGAGGATCTGAAGGAGACGGTGAGTTTTGCTTATTTCTCACCATTTGCATCTGAGTTCTGAAGGATCCTAGTTTGAATCTCACGCTTTTTCAAGGTTTTGATATGATCGGTTTGCTTTGAACGAAAGCATGAAATTTTCTTGTCTCAATAATTTTAGGTTCTTGGCTTGCTCTATTGACATTGAAAAGTTTTAGCATGTTATTTTAGTCGACAAAAGTCCATTGTGTATTGACATACACAAGGAAATTTTTTGTCTATTTTATATATTTTGTTTTGGCTATGTGTTTGGTTTACCTTTGAGGGGACAAAGCATGACCAATTATAAATTCTCAGGAGATAAGGAAGTAAGAAGTGAAAAACCAGAAATACAATCCATTGGTGTGATCTGATGTTGAATGTATCGGTAGCTAGGAAGAGTTGTTAGTTGTATCTTTGTTCTGTCATGCAGCGAAAAGAATAAAAGAACTGATCGGGAGATCAGAGATATATGGTCAAATATTCTTCCCGTGTGACCTGATTGGACAACCCTTGAAATTTTGCCATAACATTGTTTGGATTGAATGCACCAGATTTGGATATATGTCCATAAATGCAGATCTTCTGACTAGGAAGAATGGGTGGTTACTTTTTTCTTTTGGTAATTTTATTCTCCTTGGTGGGACATTTTGAACTTATTATCTGGGAGGATGTTGCTCTTCACAGGTTCAAGAAGTGTATGAGCTTTCTGCGGAGTATGAAGGAAAGCATGACCCCCAAAAACTTGAGGAGCTTGGAAAAGCAATCACCAGTTTGGATGCTGGGGACTCTATTGTTGTTGCAAAATCCTTCTCCCACATGCTTAACTTGGCCAATTTAGCCGAGGAGGTTCAGATTGCTCACCGACGAAGAAACAAGCTGAAGAAAGGAGATTTTGTCGATGAGAGCAATGCAACTACAGAATCAGACATTGAAGAAACTCTCAAGAAACTTGTGGTGGACCTGAAGAAGTCCCCTCAAGAAGTTTTTGATGCTCTGAAAAACCAGACTGTTGATCTTGTTCTTACTGCTCATCCTACTCAATCAGTTCGTAGATCTTTGCTTCAGAAACACGGAAGGTTTGATTTGATATATGATAGTATTCAGTTATCTTACCTTTTCTGAAAAGAACAATATCTGGCCTTCTTAATTGATGAAAGCCGACCTTTAATCTTGCCTTTTCTTTACAGGATTCGAAATTGTTTAACTCAGTTTTATGCCAAAGACATCACTCCTGATGACAGGGAGGAGCTTAATGAGGCCCTACAGAGGGAGGTGAGTTTTGGAGCACTGTCGTTTTTACATAATTTCTGTCCCACACAGTAATGCTTTATGTTTCTTTCCTGTCACTTGTAGATCAGAATTGTCACAATCTTTGTTATATCTTTCTCTGGGTGACACGTGCTTGGAAATGCAAAAATATTACTTGGCTGTTGGCGTACTGAAAATTCATATAATCTTCAATCTGTTCATTTTCGCTATAGCGTTTCCACTCTCTGCTTTTATTATTTCCTAAACTTTATAAGAAGCTGCCGGTTCATCAGATGTTGTATATTTAACTCTGCTCTAAAAAACTATTGATGGGATTTGGTGATTTAATTTCTCCCCTTTTTAAAATTGTGATGCTTCAAGGGGACAAATAAAGTCAAATTGAAATTTTGGGGACGTTCAAATTAGAATGTTAAAGGTTATGGAGGTAAAAAAAAAGTTCAAGCCAATGATATTTTCTTTTTTAAAGAATATCTTTCTGCCTCTGTTCATGTAGATTCAAGCTGCCTTCCGAACTGATGAAATCAGGAGGACTCCTCCAACGCCACAAGATGAAATGAGAGCAGGAATGAGCTACTTCCACGAGACAATCTGGAAGGGTGTCCCAAGATTTCTGCGTCGTGTTGACACAGCTTTGAAGAATATAGGGATTAATGAGCGTGTTCCTTATAATGCTCCAGTTATTCAATTTTCTTCCTGGATGGGTGGTGATCGTGATGGTACACTTCTTACGTTTGACGAAATCACTTGTTTGCATGGGGAGAAATGGAAGATTAGCTCATGATCATGGCATCTTATCTCTGTTATATGATGCAGGAAATCCTAGAGTGACTCCTGAAGTGACGAGGGATGTTTGCTTATTGGCTAGAATGATGGCTGCTAATTTGTATTATTCCCAGATAGAGGATCTTATGTTTGAGGTGCTTTATAGCCTACCTTACAGGCTTCATCATTCATCAATGATTTTTGGGGAAAATTTGTCATCTCATATCATTTTGCTGATTTTCTTTATTGTTTCTGTAGCTATCTATGTGGCGTTGCAATGATGAGCTACGAGTCCGTGCAGATGAACTTCATCATTCTGCTAAGAAAGATGAAGTTGCAAAACACTATATAGGTAATTATGAAAAAATTAGGGAGTTGAAATTGTGCTTTTTAAAAAATGAAAACCTCAGTTATGATATCCATGCAACACATGGTTGCTCCACAATTAAACAAATTGCTGTAAGCTAGATATTGAAGAGAAATGCTGTGAATTGAAGTGGCTTTCATTATGATGCAGAATTTTGGAAGAAAGTCCCCCCAAATGAACCATATCGTGTGGTGTTGGGTGAAGTGAGAGACAGGCTTTATCAGACCCGTGAACGTTCTCGCCATTTGCTAGCTCACGGTCACTCTGACATTCCAGAGGATGCTACTTTCACCAATGTTGAGGATGTATGCCCTTGGACTTCAAAATATAATATCATGCTTGGCTGTATAAAATGAATTTATTTTCTTTGTTATTATCTATGCATAATAGATACTAACTGGAGTTAAATTTTGTCCAGTTCTTGGAACCTCTTGAACTCTGTTACCGATCACTTTGTGCTTGTGGTGATCGGGCAATTGCCGATGGAAGCCTTCTTGATTTCTTGAGGCAGGTCTCCACTTTTGGACTGTCACTTGTGAGGCTTGACATCAGGCAAGAGTCAGAACGTCATTCTGATGTGATGGATGCCATTACCAGACATTTGGAACTTGGCTCTTACAACGAATGGTCTGAAGAGAAGCGGCAGGAATGGCTTTTATCCGAGTTGAGTGGCAAGCGGCCACTGTTTGGACCTGATCTTCCCACAACTGAAGAAATTAGAGATGTTTTGGACACATTTTATGTCATAGCTGAGCTGCCACCTGACAGCTTCGGAGCATACATCATTTCAATGGCAACAGCACCATCTGATGTTCTTGCTGTTGAACTTCTGCAACGAGAATGCCATGTTAAGCATCCATTAAGAGTTGTCCCCTTGTTTGAGAAGCTTGCAGATTTGGAGGCTGCTCCAGCTGCTTTAGCCCGGTTGTTCTCGGTAGACTGGTACAAGGATCGGATCAATGGAAAGCAAGAGGTCATGATTGGTTATTCAGATTCAGGGAAAGATGCTGGGAGATTCTCTGCAGCATGGCAGCTATATAAGGCTCAAGAGGAACTCATAAATGTAGCCAAACAATATGGTGTTAAGCTAACCATGTTTCATGGTCGTGGTGGGACTGTGGGAAGAGGAGGTGGGCCCACCCACCTCGCTATCCTGTCTCAACCACCTGAGACAATTCACGGATCACTTCGTGTGACTGTTCAAGGTGAAGTTATTGAGCAATCATTCGGAGAGCAGCACTTGTGTTTTAGAACACTTCAACGTTACACAGCCGCTACTTTAGAGCATGGAATGCATCCCCCAATTTCACCAAGGCCAGAATGGCGTGCCTTAATGGATGAGATGGCTGTCATTGCCACAGAAGAATATCGGTCTGTTGTATTCAAAGAACCTCGATTTGTTGAGTATTTCCGCCTGGTAAGATTTGCTCCGAATTATCAGATTTCACTTCTTTTTCATGCAATGTTAAGTAAACTAAATAGCTGACATTGAAAATCTCCTTATAACATGCAGGCTACACCAGAGTTGGAGTATGGTAGGATGAACATTGGAAGTCGTCCAGCAAAGCGAAGGCCAAGTGGGGGAATTGAAACACTCCGTGCAATACCTTGGATCTTTGCATGGACACAAACGAGGTTTCATCTTCCTGTGTGGCTCGGATTTGGAGCTGCATTCAAGCATGTTATCGAGAAGGATGTGAGGAACCTGCAAATGCTGAGAGAGATGTACACTCAATGGCCTTTCTTTAGAGTCACCCTTGATTTAGAGGAAATGGTGTTTGCCAAGGGTGACCCAGGCATTGCTGCTCTCTATGATAAACTCCTTGTTTCACCAGAATTGTGGCCTTTGGGAGAGCAATTGAGAGCCAAGTATGACGAGACTAAGAGGCTCCTCCTTCAGGTAAATGTTCTTCATCTTAAAACTGTTTGTTTTGCCATAATGTCTAACTTGTCCTGGGATCAAACCCTTGGATGATTGAGTGAAACCTGGGGGTAGTTTCTTGCCAACCAAGTTACCAATTCGGCAGTAGTTAGTTCTTTCTTAATAACATTCATTCAGAATGAGTGAAAGACTTGTTACTGCTCAGTGACAACACTAGCTGATTTATTTTTCTCTGGTGTACTGATAGGTGGCTAGGCACAAGGATCTTCTTGAAGGAGACCCATACTTGAAACAAAGACTTCGCTTGCGTGATTCTTACATTACTACCCTAAATGTTTGCCAAGCTTACACATTGAAACGCATTCGTGATCCGAGCTTCAGCGTGAAGGTGCGACCCCACCTCTCGAAAGAGTCCGTGGAGATAAGTAAGCCGGCGGATGAGCTTGTAACGCTGAACCCAATGAGTGAATACGCCCCAGGTTTAGAAGACACCCTCATTCTCACCATGAAGGGTATTGCTGCTGGCTTGCAGAACACTGGTTAGACATTTGAGTTTTCTCTTTTGTTTTTATTTTTGGGTGTCCTTTCTGTTTTTCCTGCTTAAGTTTTCCCAGAGGGAAAAGCATAAAATGTAGTTTGGTTCCAAGATGATGCACCAGAAGAGCCAAGCTTTTGTTGATTTATAGCGGCCAGGTTGGTACTGCCTGCACGATGAGTATTTCTTTTTTCATTCATGTAAGTCACCTCTGTAGTTGCAGCAGCACATATCTGAGAGTAAACAATTATAACACTCTCTTGGTTTTATTTTGCTTTTCTTCCCCAACCTCTCTGGGACATTACCTTCCATGGCATTAAACCCTTGGTCTTGCTGAGCCCAGGGGGAACACCACAACATATAGACCTGTGCTTCGTTCGTCAAAAGAACAAAAATTATCTATTGCCGTATGACCTACTTCTTATTTATTTCTTTTTTTTTTTAATAGCGTAATTCTTATATATCATACTCCCTTTATTTAAAGGAAGTGAAGAATTTTTGAATTAGAAAGTGCCTCATTTGTGAGTGAAATAAACGGGGGTTGCCGGCCAAGACAGGGTTTCGTACTCAAAGTACAAAAGGACCTTGCCCCTATCAGTATCTATCACCACCAGCTCATAAGTCATACATGTACATATACATGTATGTATGTATGTATGTATGTATGTTCTCGAACCTGACATGACGTCGTATTATGAAGCAATGGAGCTCTACTAATAGGCGTTACAACAACTGACTTTCATTAAACTGACTTTCACCAAATGAACTTTCACCAAATGAACTTTTGATAAACTGAAAACCAAAAGCACACGAAATTTTAAAGGAAAACTCACGCAAAAATTCCTTAATATATGAAAATACTATAATTTTTTTAAGTTCTTAAGAACTTTTTGGACATTAATGATTTTTTATTAAATAATTAAAATACTCTCAATTTAAAATAAAAAAGTTATAGCTTTGGCCACAAGAAAATAAATATTAGTAACTATTTTAAGTTAAATAATGAATACTTTTATTTAGGCACTAACTTGACCAGAATAGAAAAGGTAATAACAACTTTTCTTATATAAATTTTTAATTTACTGAAATTCAAAAGTTGTAAATATATGTGATCACTCTAATTTAAGCTATGATTGTTTTTTATTGGTAATGAGTAAAATATAAAAAATAATTAAAAATTTTCCTGTGCTAATTTTTAATTCATTGAAGTCAAAGTGATGTAAATATTTAGGAACATTTTAGTTTAGCACTTTAATTAATAACTAATTTTCTTCTAATAATGACTATAATGGAGCAAACAATAATAACTTTTCCAGTGCAAATTTGTAATTCACTAAAATTCAAGTATTGTAAATATTTGTGACTATTTTTGTTTAATTAATGATTTTTTTTTTCTAATAATGACTACAATGAAATAAGCAAGTGCTACTATAGTTTAAATTAAAAGTATTTTAGTCATTTCATAAAAAATAATAATTAATGTTTGAAAGATCATTAAGGACTTAAAAAGAATTATAATATTTCGTAAGATCTCATTATTATTTATATATTTTAAGAGAATTTTTTCTATTATTTTTCCAATCTTAAGTTCTAGTCTATATAAATATAATATATATATATATATATTATATTGAGAGAGCTATTTTCAATTTGATTTGACAATGCTCCAAAATAATCCAGTCACAAATAATCATGTAAAAAATTGAACCTTCCCTAACTTCCTACATTTTATCAAATATACCAACATATAGTAGTTTGTATAAATTAAAAAAATTAATCTGCAAATCCTTATAGTTTTGCTCAATTTTAAGTTAGTTATAAAATCTTTATAGTTTTATTTATTATACATGTTAACCGTTTAAGGTTAAATTTAATAATGAACTATTAAATTTTACAAAACAAAAATGCTCTTTGAGTTTGTAGAAAATTTAATTTAAGACTTTTAGTAAAAAAAATTTAAAAATAAAATTTTATTTAATACACTATTTACATTTTTATTAATTTTTCAATGAAAATTCTTTATGTGTAAAAAAAATTTGGAAGACAACCTAATTATATAAATTTTGAGTTATAAAAATTATGTTATTCATTTTAAAGTTATATATTCCTTTAATAAAAATATAAAATTTATTAATTTTGTTTTTCCAAAGAAAAATTTAAGGATTTTAACCTTAAGTGATTAAAAAATTTAATTAATCAAACTATAAAGACTCAATTAAAATAAAATAAATTATAAATATCTAATTAAAAATTGAATAAAACTGTAAGAACCTATAAATATATTTTTCTTAAATCAAATTAGGATAACGCATGTCATCCACATCATGTTAAATTGAATTTTTGTAACAATAAATCTTTTCTTGCTAAATAAAAATGATCATGTAAATTGTACCATATTATCATGCTCTATAAATAATTTTAGATATATCTGCCACTAAAAAGTACCAATAATTTTTTATTTTATGTTGCTTGAATTTTTTTAAGTTTATTTTGAATTTTATTATTTTTAATTCACCATTTCAAAATAGATATTATTTTACATTTATGTTCACAAAACATAACATATTAAACTATCAAAATAAAATTTAAACTGCTTGGATAAAACATAAACTATACATAATAAACATCTCATGATTCAAGTATAAGGACCTATTTAGTTTCTAGTCTTATTTTTTGTTTTCAAAAACTGTTTTGTAATATAGTTTTTAAAATTATTTTTCAAAACAAAATAAAATAAAAATATGTTCAGTTATGTCAATTAAAAAATAATTTTAGAATTAAAAAGTGAATTAATAGTGATAATTATGGGCAGTTAATGAAGGTGTTTAATAATAGAAATTGGTTAAGATACCTATAATTTTAAATAATAAAATGTAGTGTATTTTAAAAATGAAAAAATAAAAACAACTTGAAGTTATTTTTATTTTTTAAAAAAAGTAAAAATAATTTTGAAAACATTTAAATGAAAAACATTTATTTAAACAAGTTTTTAAATTTTTTTATTTTAAAAAACAAAAAGAAAAAACAGTTTTCAAAAAACAAAAAACAAACATGCTCTAAAGCTCAAGGAGGAATCGCACTCCAGGCCCTAAAAAAAATTACACTATAGGCTCAATATATTTTGATATTGCGTTGCAAACTCAAGAGCCTTTGTTGCAATTTTTCTCAGGAGCGAAAGTATAATTTTGTTCTAATATGATTTGAAAACTTAAATCATGTACAACACTAACAACATCCATGCATGCACAATACAATATTCATAAATTCTCAACACAATATCCATACATGTCTAATTGATCAGTAAGTTTAATAAATTGTAAGAGCGATGCAAATAATATATAACATAATGTCCACGAATGTGTAACATGATATTCATAAATTCTTAACAAAATATTCATACGTGTCTAGTTGATTTATAAATTAATTAAAATATACAAGTCATGTAAAAGCATATACGACACGATGTCCACAGGTGCACAATACAATGTTTATGAATTCTCAACACAAGGTTCATGAATTCTCAATATAATGTCCATGCATGGACATTCAGTTGAGAGTGCATGGATATCGTGTTGTGCATATATAGACATGATATTGTATATTGTTTGTGTCACTTGTACATTCTATTAAACCTACTAACTAATTAAACTCGCATGAAGATTGTGTTGAGAACTTATGAATATCGTATTGTGCACATATCAATATTGTTATACATAATCTGAGTTTTCGAATCACACAAGGATAAAATTATATTTTTGTTCTAAAAAAAAATTATAACAAGGACCTCTAGACTTATAGTGCAATATCAAAATGTATTAGACCTATGGTGTAATTTTTATTGTTTTCAAGACCTTTAGCGCAATTCTGCAATGTACAACCGCTATATTTGGTGATTTCTTTTTTCTTTTTCTTTAACAAAGGGCTTTGGCTTAAGGCGTGCAAAAAATATAAGAAAAAAGTATTTCACAAGTGGACTTGTAGTATTGGAAGACCATTCTGTTTGCTTTCACAACCGTTGAGACTTTATAATGTATTGTTGACAATAACGCATCACCGTACTGTCGGTACTGTATCCTTCCAGTCTATAACCTTGCTTCTGCTTCCATTTCATTTTATTCAATCTCTTGCCTCGGGATTCTCCCTCTCTTCCAACTTGTCTTGACCTTTTTCATCCGCTTTTATTTATTAATTTCACTTCCAACAATTTTTTTTTTAAAAAAATATAATAAAATTTTTTAAAATTATATAAATGATAATCTAATTTCTTAAAATATCATAATTTCAATAAATTTTTTAACAACTTTTTTATTATTAATAAATTTATATAAATGATTAAATTTTTATTATAACAGTATTAGAAATTTGACATACATGCAAAGTAGTAATTTACTATTGTATTATTATAAATATAAAAAACAAAGTTACAATTATTTAAATAAAATTTATGATCATTACTTATTATTTTTCATATTTATAGCAATATTAAAAATTTAACACACGGACTTGTGATTTACTGTTACATTATTATAAATATAAAAAGAAAAGTTGTGATTATTTAAATAAAATTTGTAATCATTACTTATTATTTTCAATACTTATAGCAATATAAGAATCTTAACATGTAAAGTTGTGATTTGCTGCTGCATTGTTATAAATATAAAAAGAAAAATTGTGATTATTTAAATAAATATGTGATCATTTTATTTTTAACAAAGTTGATTTTGTCACTTATATAAATTCATTAATGATAAAAAAATTTTAAAAATTTTAGTGAAATTATAATATTTTAAAGAATTAAATTATCATTTATATCATTTATATAATGTAAAAAAATTTTATTGTTATTTTTTCATTTTTTAAACAAATTTCATAATATGCTTTGTTTCCACGAACGACATCACCAAGACCAGAACGTGCAAAGGTTGTCAAAAATTTCTGTTTGTTGATGTTAGAGTTCGAGAAGAGATGTGCAAAGTATATTTAATTTAATTATGATGTCTCAGCAAAATTAATACCACAAGATTTACCTAATTTTTAAAGTCTTCGGATCCTCTTTCTGTATTGGCATTAATTAATCATCTCCTCATTTTCTGTTCCGTTTTTTTGGGTTGTAGGCTGCTTTACAGCACAAGCACGGGCCCACCTCAAAAGTGAATGCCGGTGGTTTTGACGGTTGGGTGCACCGACACAAAAGTCTATTTCCCATTTAATCTCTTCTCAATTCACAACCCAAACGGTGATTGATTCTATAGCCTTATATTATTATTTCTAGAACCTCCCTCACCTTTCATTCTGTTTTTTATTTTATTTTTCTTTCTAATACAAAGTCTTGATAAAACCATGCAAAGCTAAAAAAGGGGTCAAATCAGCATTCTAGAGATCTTTACACCTTAAAAAAGAGTGTTGAAAAGTCTAGCATTTTTTTTATTTCAAGCAGTCTAGATTTAACCTCAACTTATTCTAAAATCTTAAATTCAAGTCATGTAACATGCAATTATATAAAATAAATATGTCTAGAACATTTTCAAAATACCCATGAAACCGGTGTTAGTAATTATGATACCATATAGCAGGAGTTCAAAATAGTCCAAAAAAAAAATGTGATAATGCTCTCAGGTTTCCTAAAATACCAAATGATAGGATTAAAAAAAAATCAGAAAGTAATATTCATATAGCGAGTCCAATAAGCCAACCAACATGCATCCTAATTTTTATTGCTCACAATTATCTTCCTATTAAAGGCAAATTTAATATTTGAGGTGGGACACTGTTCATGCATCCTAATTTTACTATCAACAAATTCAATGATGCGCCGGGAGTTGAGGTATATTTCAAACCAGATGTTAATTTCTAGACCATAGTTTCCTGCAATGTCCTGATGATGTCAACCCAAAAGAAGGGGAAAAAAGGGCAGTGACATGTCCAGCGTTGAACAAAGCAGCTGCACATCAAACAAGGACCAATATCATTTGGACTTCATTTGGTAAGGTGTTGGGGGAGATTGGGAGAATGACCCTAATAGAAAGAAGGCAACATCTTAATTGCCCACATGTGAACTCAAACCCCTTTTCACAAAGACACCACGCGCTCTCACACTCAAGAGTATTATTCTATACATGCATCATCATCTTAAGCCAATTCCAAAAAAGGAAAAAAATTTTAAGAAAGTTATCCAAATTACCATGAAATAGTGGTCCATCTACCTATCCCTCCCCTATAAAGGATAGATTGAATTGTATCAACCATCAGAACCACCACTCTCAATAACAAAAACCAAACCTCATTGCAGAGTCCCCTTGCGTCTGCTGTCCCACATATTCACAAATATAGAGAGAGTCCCCTTGCGTCGGAGATCAAGTTTCCAAGAATAACCAGGAAATATGAGATGCATTTTTCAATGAAAAAATTCCTAGCATGTTTGCTTATATAAGCTTTGTCAAAATAGGTCTACCTCCTAGAGTTGAAATGATAATATATCCTCAAGACTTATGAGCGCATATGTTGCTCAGGGAACAGAGAAGGCAAAAAGAAATAAACAAGCACTTCCGAGTCAAGAGCAAGGGGAAAAAATTGCGAATTTTATTGATTAAATGGCTAATAGAAAAAAAAGGAAATAACAATGATAACAACATATAAAACATCCTCCTATCTCTAGCCCAGTAGGTACCCACCACCCATCCAATCTCCCTCAAGGGCTTCCAGTGTTTGGCATATATCTTCACATATATACATGTAGAGATCCTCCACTACCAACGGAAGAGACCGTCCATCTCCCCCTTCTGTCTATCTCTGTCTGTTTATCTATCTTAAAGGATTAAACTGCCAATTAAATCAAGTGTACATATAAATAAAAATCTTCTTCCTTTCTGGATCAGAATGAAACTGGGGATACAAGAACAGCTGACCTATAAGAACTGAGGAAGAGAGGAGAAAAAGGAAAATTGACAAAAGGGAGAAGGGAGGAACATGGAGCCATAGAGAGTATTGAGGAATGAATGAATGAATTAAAACTGCGATAGGAACCTAAACTCTCCCTGGGTTCTGGTGGCAGCATTGGCTGCTAAACAAGATTATTATTATGTGGCTCCAACTATATCACAGATTCTAGGTGACCATTTTTTGGGTGGGAACAAAAGACTGGAAAAACTCCAGAGATGAAGTTTGACGAGGGAATTTGGCACCACGAACAAAATGTTTTAGGCAGGCATAGAAGCAGTACAAATCATTAGCTCTATGTGCTGTAATGCCTCACAGAGTGTTCCAACATATCACGGCTGGGGCAAACAAGTTCCTTCACACGGCTGCCATTTTTGTAGATCTTGAAAGTGGGTACCAACCTAACATTCTCAGCGGTTGCAATTGCTGGGGTTTTTTGAACATCCACCTGTAGTGAAAACCCAAAAAAATGATCACAGGCATAAATGAATCATCTTTCACCTCTTACATAATTAGAGTGAAGTAAACAAGAAGATTAATCACTAAATACCTTGAGAAAGTTAACAGAAGGAAATCGACTGCAAAGTGTATTCACAAATGGTGATAACTGTTTGCATTGTGAGTCAGATTCAATTTCAAAATGGACAACAGATACACCTGCAGAGTTGGGGTTACAATCAATCCCTGTATTTACAAGATAAATTAACTGACCATATGAAAGTCTCACGAGTGAAGCACCTGGTAAAGATATTGCAGCTCTGAACTGCTCGAGACCAGATACTCCTTCCACTTCGCCACCAAATTTCAAATTATAAACTTCTTCCCCACGAGATTTCTTCAATGCAACTTGTGCATGGAAATGAGCTTCAGCAACTTCATTGTCATCTGGAAGTTCTCTTCGTAAGACCTCATAGTCTTGGACTGCTTCTTCCCACCTCTCTAGCTGTATTCCACAACAAGGGATAAGCATGAGATACGTATGACTATTAAGATACTGCACCGCAAAGAATACAGAACCAACTTAATATACCTTGCTATTTGAGGCAGCCCTTCGAAGAAGTGCTTTTGTATAATTTGGTTGGATGTGTAAAGCTTGATTGCAGTCCTCAATTGATCTTTCCCATTGCCCAAGCTTAAACCAACAAGCAGCTCTATTGCAATGGAGAACAGCATTTGAAGGCTCCAGCCTCAAACCTTCCTCATATGCAGAGCAAGCTTCAGTGAACCTTTCAGATTTAAAAAGATCATTGCCACGAGCTCGAGCTCTAGCCACCATCCTTACATTGCTGAGCAAAACAGCAACTTCGATGTTTCGGGCATCAATGAGACCAGCTTTCTCAGCAGCTGCAACTGCATTCTCAAACCTGCAATACATCCATCATCCATTCTCACTCTCCAATAGAAACCTTGTGCCAACTTAGATTTCTGATGAACCTTACAGTTGCTGAACTCACCTTCCCAAAGCCATCTCAATCTGAGCTCTAACAAAGAAAGAATAAGCTTCAGAAAGCATTCCAAAAAACCTTGCCTGAGACGAGGATTTAGAATGTGATTCTGTTTTTGGAATAGCTGACAGAATTGATTCAGCATCATCAATTTGGTGAAGCTTTAAAAGGGCTTCTGCTCTACACATAAAGAGCTGTAAATTCAATTTTGAACCAGTTCAGCCATTCCAAACTTTTCACACAACAATAATACATTAAATACATATATGACTGCAAAAAAAAAAAAAAAGTCTTTACCTGAGGGGAAGAGTCTGCTCCAGCAGCAACAGCAGCATCAACTTCCCTGAGGACACTTTTCCAATCACCTCTCCTTCGAAAATCAGTACATTTGTTGATATTCTTCTCCACCGATTGTAGCTTCTGCAGCTCAGAAGGATCCAGCTGCAGCCCACGACCAAATAGGTGGTTCCTCGCATTCTCAACTTGTCCTAACCTGCAGCAACATGATTCTACGCTTTCAACTACTTCTCTACGAATAAAAGCAGATTTAAAATGACAATAACGTACCAACAATTTGTAAAGAGTTAAAAACAATGAATAATGCAGAGAATCCCAGAATCCGAATCAACTACGATCATAGAAATATTTGCAATTCTATTAAATCTTGAAAGTTTTCAAACGCACATAAGTAGACAATAACGTAGAACTTTGAACCAAATTACCAACTCCATCACCAACGTCGATATCCCCACATTAAACAAAAGAATCAAGGTAATGTTAGAGCAGAATGCTTATTGACTTTCGAGATAAAATATCTTCAACACAAGAACTTAGCTCAGCAGAACCAAGAAAACAAGACATGGAAAACAGAAAACAACGAACGACAGCATAAGAACAACCAACAAACAGACTTGACCTGAGGTCACAAGACGAGAGTAAGAACCATACAAACAATGTACAAAACTCCCATTTTCAGAGAGGCAATGCAATATGAAAGAAAAGGAGGATAAAAAAGGTTGAGTTCATTCAAGCTCACTTACCGGAGAAAAAGAGAAGCAAGACGCTGGTGTGCTCTTCCATAATTAGAATCCAATCTCACAGCCTCCTCGCATTCCCTCACCGCCTCAGTCAACCGACCCAATGCCGTCAATGCAGCCGCACGGTTGCTCCGGTAGGCGGCATTACCAGGGGACAGTCCAATTGCCCGATCATAAAGATTCAGTGCCTCTGTAAAGTTACCCCTCTTGTAGTGCTCGTTCCCCGCTCTCTTCACCTCTTCTGGATCCAAACTCGCCGCCGCTTTCTTGAACGGTTCCTTGAAACCGCCAGCACCGGTTGCCCTTACATTGGCCGAACTTGCCGCCTCTCCGGCAGTATGTTTGGATGATCCACAGCCCCGCATTATGCTTCCGTGACCATAATTGGCCGTACCGGAGCCCAAAACGTCCGTCCTGGAGGTCCGATTGGACGCCATACCCGTCTTCAGAATCTTGCCAGACGGACAGATATTGCCGGTAGGAAGAACATTCAATGCTGGTGATGTGACGGATGAGCTCTGACCCGAATATATAAAAGGCGGGGTGGTTCCGGCATCGGATCTTGCGTGACCCGGTTTGAAGTTCCTGGCATTCCCCCCGGATCGAAGGCTCTCGGCGGCAGTGGGACTGCTCTCGCTGGAACCAGAAAGCTCACCGGAGTGGTTGTTCGCACCAGAGTCGGATCCTTTCGAGACCGGGTTATACCCATTGCGCCCAGAAACCGATCCAGATGAACTGGAACTACTGCTGGTAGTAGTGGTGAGTCCACTCGCACCACGTCCACTTTGACGAGTCCGCAATGGCGAAACTGGCGACCCTAGATCGAGTTCGCGAAAATCCGGCTTGTTCGCCTCGCAGCTCAGGGAATCGCGAAATCGATCGCTGAGAGCACCTAACCCTAGCTCCGAATCGGGCTTCCCAGGATGCGACATTTTCACACAAACCAAACAACACAAGGCTCAACTCTTCTTTCCAAACAATGTCTCCTTCCCCCAGCTCTCTATCTTATTTCTATTCCCCTAGTCTCCTTATGTTTCGGCAATGCCTTCAAATTAAACCGCAGCGATGCCTTCTAGTACATGCACAGACAGAGGAACATAGAACCAGGAGCAATGAGGAAGACATCAAGAAGAAAGAGGAGAGAAGAAAGAAAGAACGAGAAGGATGGGGATCTCGTGATATAGAGGAGGAAGCAAGGAATGAATGTGAGTGTTAAAATTCTACTGCTACCCTTTTTTTTTTTTTTTTCAGGAGTGAGAATGAGGCTTTACGCCTACAGATTACAGATGAAATTACAGAGAAACGAGAAAGAGACAAAGGCGAAAGAAGAGAAAAAGAACCACTTTCTCTATTTTCTTTTATTCTCGCCTTCTCACCTGCTCTTTCACGAGACAGGTTTCACACTTTCACCTCTCTCTCTCTCTCTCTCTCTCTCTGCAGTTTTTCTATCTACTTCTCTCTGTTTATACTTTTCCCACCGATCATTACTTCCTTATAATCTCATTTCTGGGGGATTTCCCCCCCCCCCCCTTCTCTGATTTCCATTCCGTGGGGAGGATATCAATTTATAAAGAGGGAAAATAAAATATCTACACAAATAATTTTATTATTTTATTAAAATAATTAATGTGATAAGGTCATTCTAAAAAAAGAAATTACACTAAATATTAAAATCCAATAAGAAAGAAGATGAAAATCAAATAAAATCCATTAGTATAATTATATCCAAATATATTATTGAGACATTTTTTTTTCTACTAGAATATTAGGTTGGTTTTATTTGTTGTTTTGCTCTTGAATCAAAGGTGAGCTATATTCCCCACTCTCGTTCACAATATGTGAAAACACACTCTCATTATTCATTTGCCACCTGTCCTCTCCTTCATTGCTCTGGCGATCCATGTAGGTTCTCCTGGATAATGGTGCTATGAGGGGAAACAAAAAACAAAAAAAGGAATTGTTACAATTACAGCTTGAGTGCTACAGTGCCCTCTATTAAGCCTCATCAATGTACCTTGAAAACATCTTCATAACTCTTGAAATTCAATGGTCCTAATTCATTGTATAATTTGCAAAAGCTCAATTATTTTTTTCTCAATTGGGGCTGATGACTTTCAAACCCATTTAATTGAATGTCTTCGGGGCAGTGAAAAAAACATGGTTCTATCGTGTTGTTTTCAGAAATTTTGTGCCAATATTAGCCCTAGCAGCAGTACTAATAAACTGTCCATGTTAATTGCCTGGTTTCATGACAAAGGAAGGTCATTGGGTGATTTGTAAACTTGAATAAAAGGATTATAATCCCTCTAGTTTCAAAATATTGTTTGTTCCTAACTAATATTTATTTAAAATATAAACAATTTAACTTTTATATATATTTTTTATTTTATCCGCTGTTTTTATTAACATGCATTTAGGTGTTTATTAAAAGTCATGATCTTTTTCTTCACTCATTATAAATTAACATTAAAAATAAAAAAATAATACGTGTTTTTATAAAAATATGAAAATTTTATTGAGATACGAATTGTTGTCAAACGTGATTTATATTATCAACAAGTATGAATATATTGCATTTGCCTCAATTATTCAGGGCTCTTGCATGAGTCAAATATTTAAACGGTTAAGACACTCCACCCACCTCCCTTTCTTCCTTCCATGTCATGAATCCAATTAATTTCAGTTGAACGGTCAGATCCATAATTTTTACCCGGCCTCCCTCCCTCACAAAGAAAAAAAAAAACCCAAAAAACTCATATTAACACATCCTTGGGTAGATGAATTGTTTATTTTAAGATTTGCAATATCATTATACTCCTTTTATTTTAAATTATAAAACACTTTATGATAAAATTTTGCGTACTAATATATCTTATTTAATATATTTCACAACCTTATTTTTTAAAAAATAAAAATAAAAAATTTTAAAAATATTTTTCATTTAATAACTTTAAATCTATATTTAATTAATATTAAATTAAAATAGATGAGATAATATTAAAATAAATCTGTTTAATAAAATTTTATTTTTTAAAAAAAATTTTATATTTTAGAACAACAAACCTCCCAAAATATCTTATAATTTGAAACAAATGGAGTGGAAGGAGTAGTTCATATAGTTTTTATTCAGCTAAAATTCAATCATTGAACTCTAAATTGACTTATTAAGATTTGATTTCCATAATCTCAACTCATTCGAAAATGTACTCTTAATTTCTAACTCATTGCAATTTATGATTTATAGTCTTGACTATTTAATAAATTAATATTTTAAAAAATAACTTTAGTAATTGGTCAAATTTTAAAAAAATAAATTTAACCAAATCAAAGCTAAGATAAATTAAATCTTCAGTCTTCTTAATTTTTTTATTATTTATAGAAATCTTCATATTAAAGATAATTATATTCAAAATATGATTGTTTATTAAATAAAAGCACGTTCCTTAGTAAAGATTGAAACTTTACTTGGCCACAAAAGGGACTAGCTCTTTTTAGGAGATCCAATCCAAAAAATTGGTTGTCCTAAATTTATCTGAAGTTAAACTCCTATTGTCATTCGTGAAATTTTATATTCTAAAATATTCATCCGTCAAAACAGAAACCACGTGGCAGACTGGAGGTGGGGTCCCAGACGCATCAAAATCATCCTGGGCAGCAGAGTGGGGAGATTCGTTGCCCGCCACTGCATCATCAATCGTGAATAATGGAATCACAGCCGTCCAATTCCAACACTTCACAGCGGAGCGTTGGTAATAGCTTAAAGGCAAGGAGGCTCGTATATAAGTCCTCCAAGACACCTCACCTCTGTGGAATCCTAGATTTCTGTACTTTCCAGAATTCCACTTTCTCACGCAAGCCACAAGCCAATACGTAGACCTTTCGTTTCAGAATTTAAACATACCTTCATTTTTTTGCCCATTTGCCCTTACAAGATACTCAAACTCCCTCCAGCCCCACTGCATTGGATCCTCACAGTGTCATCCCATGAAAGCTGGTTGGATGACTGAACAAGCTAGCTCATCTTCAGGGAAAACAGAAACAAATTAGAAAGTAAATAAAAATCTTCACATTTTATTTTACAAAATCATATCAAACAAATTCAGAAGTGTCTTATGAAAAAACAATATTTCGGAATTCAATATCGAGATTTTTTTTTCACAGCATATTTAGGATTTTTGCCCTATAAAATAAAATTGCGCCCATGGGGTTCGCAAAATATTTGTGACAATTCCAATATTTTTATCAATACAAAATAGAATTAACAATGTCAGATTTAACATGATTTACTTGATTTTTTAGGCTGGTCAATCCACATTATTTTTCTGTGCCAGCGATGTAATTTTATCAAGATTAATGACATTAACTTAACTAAAGAATTTCAATTTTGAAATTAGTTAAACCGTTTTGTAATCTTGTAAATTACTAATACTTAAGATGAAAACAATAAGTATATTTTTGGCCTAAAATTTGTTAAAGTGACACTTACCAGACCGAACTTAAATTTGTTAAAAACTATTGTGTTTTGTGCTTATGAAATTAGCCTTTTATATATATTTTTTCTAAAACTCCTTCGGACTTGTAATAGTAAAATCCAAACATCAACTAGTTAAGAGATTCAAAATAAAAATATGGGAAATTACACAAATGTATTTTTAAACAAAATTTTGAAGAGAAACAGGTCACATGAACAGTATGTCGGAAGGTGGGCATGAGGGCCGCAGGACAGTAGAGGCAAGATGGGAATTTGATGGATGCAGTGATGGACAGCAGTAGCTGGCCATGTGCAGGAAGAGATTGGCGATCCAGCTGGCCAATTCAGGCGAACCAGAGCCGCAACAGTGGCATCCAGCTAAGCATTTGACGGGCCCAGTAACGTCGTTGGCATCATCTCTTGGATATTCGGAGGTCGCCGTTAGAAAGTGACGTCACATCCGGGATTGGAATGACAATGGTGACCGTACCATCCTTTGTATGCGTGCCTTTCTGTGGAGTTGTGGTCTTCTGCGGCGAGGTTCATGGCAAGTGCGTGAATGTTCAACACGTGGAGACATTTCAGGATGACACAAGGCAGTCGAGTGGCGATGCTGGACAGATTGGTGCTTGTGGGTTGGGAAGAAGCACAACAATGATCTTTCTTTTCATAGGTATAAATGTAACCCAAAAAAAAAAAAAAAAAGCGGACTTTCATAATTAAGACTCTTTTTTGAGCCAGACTTACATGGCCACGAACGGGAAGTAGTCAAACATTTCATGGAATCTATTTTTTTTTTCTTGTACAATTTTTCCATTAAAAGATCACCTTTTCATGGATTAATTATGATGTTCAAAATAGGATTGGGATATTGAATATCAGCACCTCTCTCTCAAACAAAAAATTAAATATTAATTTACAATATTTTAGAGGCTAAAATCATTTCTGTCAAACTTAACTCTTGTTGAAAATAATAAAATTTAATCATTTAATTTTTATAATTTTAATTTAATTATAACTCAATACTTAAACCGTGACTTGTTATAACTCACTTTTTTAAGTTTTGACTTGATTGTAAATTTATTCTTGAATCTTACTTCTTATAATTTAGTCCTTAAAATTTCAACCTCATAAATATTAGTCCATATATTTTAAAAAATAAAATTAAAAATATTAAAAATATTTTAAACTTTTAATATTTATAAATATTAAAAGGGTTTAATAATTTAAGATATTAGTAATAAATTTTAAAATATTTTTAATTTTTATAATTTTTTTTTAAATATAAGCACCAATATTTAAGAGGGTAAAACTTCATGAACTAAATTGTAAGAGGTAAAGTTCAAGAATTGAATTATAACTGTGTTAAAATTACAGGGATTAAATAATTAATTTTTTTAAAAAAATATTATTAATTACTTAAATTTATATGCGTAGAGTTATATATTAATGATAAACAAGTATTTTTTGTGTTCTATTTATAAGAGGGACAAGTAATGTTTTTTTTAATGACCAAAAGAAAAAAAACAACACAGGGTCCTAGACCCTTAGGTAAGAAATTAAAGACTTAGTAATGCAATCTAGAGAATGCGAGAAGAAGACGATCCCTTACACTTGCTTGAGAGCTTCCTTGGCAAGTAACACAGTGATAGAGAATGTTTGATCATATTCAATAGTAAGTCACATCATTAGTTTTAATCATAATTCTTCCTTTACCTTCCATATTAATTGTTCGTGAGAGAGAAAATATTGATCTTTTTAATCTTATTTGTAAGTTATTTATATATGTTTAATTATATGTATATATATATATCATTTTAATTTTATCTGAAAATTCAACTAATTTACTTCTATTAAATATATATATATATATATTAAAAATAAAATACTCCACAATTTAATTAATAACATTTTTAATATTTAATAATGGTAAAAAGATAAAGATAAAGAAAAAAAATCATAAAAATATTTTATAAATATGATCGAAATAGATACACTTTCTATCTAATAAGTACCA